TATATATATATATATGTGTATATATGTATATATATATACACACGTGTGTGTGTTACTGTAAATAGGTTTTATTGTACAGTTATTATGAAAGCAAACGACTTCAAAGTAAACAGTTACCAACTAAGAAACTTAAATTTGCCAAATGAGCAGACGGTAATGTGTTATACAATGTAACAGTATTTTTTTATGTGAAGTTCTGGCAACACTATTACAAAGATTATTTGATAGGTTCCAGCAGTATCTATTGTTACAGTTCAACATTTAGTCATCAGTCTGGAATAACAAATCATCAGTAGGCACTGGCATCTTGACATCAACAGCAGAAACAGAACTACTTTAATACAAGCAAAGAATCACAGTAACTAACTTCACTCTTCCTTCAGTCAGTTACAGCATGAGCATGGGAACAATATTAGAAATCTCTCTCATCACACTGGGTACATACAATTGTCTGGTTAAACTTAGAAGAAACATAACGGAGCAGCAGACACTTATTTTCCATCACTGACTCAATGCTCAGAATGTCACACAGAAAACATGAGGATGTTAATCATCACAGGTAAGTGTATCTAAACTATGTGGTGCATGATGAACTTGAGCATTCATTCTTTCTACACACAGGTGAAAAACTCTAGCGAGCTACAAACATCACCTCCTACACCTACAGAACGTGAGTATTAAAATGATGCACCAACATAAGCCTCTTAACTACTGAACTATCAGAAGCATAAATTCAACACTACTAATCTTCCTTGCAGTTCTAGAGGAATAGCGACTAAACCTTTAGTTAGGAGTACTTTTTAAACAGGTATGAAAGTAGATAAGTGGATTTACAGCTAGACTACTAGGTGAATAAAAATTATTCTTTGACAATAGTTTATGAAATCATAGTAAAAGTTAATTTGAAGTGAAGTGAAAATCATTGAAACAGACAGTATCAGTAGAAAAAAAACAGCCCGACTCTGGACCACTTCTGGGTGGTGTGAACTCATGGCTACATAGTGTTAGATTACAGAAGGCCAGTATGTAGTTGTAACCACAGTAACATACATGCTGCTCAGAATTTAAAGTCACTATTGTCTATCTCTCAGTTTGTAGAAAAGCTCAGAATATAACACACCACAGCTATCAGGGCATTAGGAGGAGGCAGGAGGAACCAGCTAGCTTGGCTTTGAAAACTATTCATAACAATGCAGTGTGACTGCGTTGATGGAAATTAAGGGATTTACTGTGAATAAATGTTTTTCCACACTGTTCACACCAGTATGGTCTCTCTCCAGTGTGAACACGACGGTGAATGTTTAGTTCACCTGATATAATGAAACCTTTCCCACACTGGTCACAGCTGTGTGGTTTCCCTCCAGTGTGAACATGTTGGTGGTATTTTAGACTACTTGATGTAGTGAAAGCTTTCTCACATTGGTCACAGCTGTACGGTTTCTCTCCAGTGTGAATACGTTGGTGGTATTTTAGACTACCTGATGAAGTGAAAGCTTTCTCACATTGGTCACAGCTGTACGGTGTCTCTCCAGTGTGAATACGTTGGTGGCATTTTAGACTACCTGACTGAGTGAAAGCTTTCCCACATTGGCCACAGCTGTACGGTTTCTCCCCAGTGTGAACACGACAGTGACTTTGTAGTTTAGCTGATGAAATGAAAGTTTTCCCACACTGTTCACACCAGTATGGTTTCTCTCCAGTGTGGATACGACGGTGCTTTTGTAGGTCACCCGATAGAGCGAATGCTTTCCCACACAGGTCACAGCTGTACGATTTCTCTCTAGTGTGAACACGCTGATGCATTTTTAGTGCACTCGATCCAGTGAAAGTTTTCCCACACTGTTCACACCAGTATGGTTTCTCTCCAGTGTGAACACGACGGTGAATTTTAAGTTCATATGATGTAGTGAAAGCTTTTCCACACTGGTCACAACTGTACGATTTCTCTCTAGTGTGAACACGCTGATGCATTTTTAGTGCACTCGATCCAGTGAAAGTTTTCCCACACTGTTCACACCAGTATGGTTTCACTCCAGTGTGAACACGTTGGTGTTTTTTTAGAGTACCCAAATGGGGAAAAGCTTTCCCACACTGGTCACAGCTGTATGGTCTCTCTCTAGTGTGAACAAGTAGATGGGTTTTTAACCCACTTGATCTAGCGAAAGTTTTCCCACACTGGCCACAGCTATGCGGTCTCTCTCCTGTGTGAACACGTTGGTGGTATTTTAGACTACCTGATGAAGTGAAAGCTTTCTCACATTGGTCACAACTGTATGGTGTCTCTCCAGTGTGAATACGTTGGTGACATTTTAGACTACTAGACTGAGTGAACGCTTTCCCACATTGGCCACAGCTGTATGGTTTCTCCCCAGTGTGAACACGACAGTGACTTTGTAGTTTAGTTGATGAAATGAAAGTTTTCCCACACTGTTCACACCAGTATGGTTTCTCTCCAGTGTGGATGCGACGGTGCTTTTGTAGGTCACCTGATAGAGCGAAAGCTTTCCCACACTGGCCACAGCTATGCAGTCTCTCTCCTGTGTGAACACGTTGGTGAATTTTAAGTTCATTTGATGTAGTGAAAGCTTTTCCACACTGTTCACAACTGTATGGTTTCTCTCTAGTGTGAACACGCTGATGCATTTTTAAATTCTTCGATGTTGTGAAGGATTTTTCACAGTGCTGACAGCAGTGACGTTTGAGTCCATCTCTTCCTCTCCGTTCCTATAACAGACAGAGAGAAAGAGTGATTGAGATGTCATGGTGCAATGTAAAGTAGTGAGTGTACAGCTTGTACAACAGGAGGAGTGGAAAAGGACTCCAGTGGCAATCTGTGAAGCTCCAAGAAATTAAGGCAGTGCTGGCAAATAATAGAGGCCTCATAAAAATAGACACTTTGGTACCAATTTGGATATTTTCACATAGGGGTGTACTCATTGTTGTTGCCAGGGGTTTAGACAATCGTCGTGCGATCTATTTTAAGGGGACAGCAAATTTACATTGTTATACGAGCTGTACACTCACTCAAAATTTTACAATACCAGTACCAAAACCAGAACCCTTAAAGTGATACTGATACCAATTAAATTGATACCAACTGAACTGACCTGTTGTAGCCATATAGTGGTTGATTGGTAGGCTATTATTATTCTTACTGTTATGGACAAGTAAGACTACAGCTTGGGAGTTTTTTTATATGTGAATGAGAGAGGAGTGAAATAGTTTAGTGACCAAATAAGTTGTAGGAAATGCATTTAAAGGTATTTTTTGGTTGAAAGTAAACAACGGAAAATTAGAAAGTTAATAAAATAGCCTATCAATAAACTGAACTGAAAGATCCCCGCAAGTAGGGATGGGGATCGAGACCCGGTTCCAAAGTTTCTCAAACCCAAAAATCAATAGGGTTCGAGCTTATCGATACTGCTATCGAGACTTGTGGGTCCAATGATGTAACGTTTTGTCTCGAGCGTCAAATCTGATTTAATTTGAAACGCAAGAAAAGAAAATCATCAGGCTGCAGTCTGTCAGCTCCTACATACACACACACAGCTGCAGCAGAGCGAGCGGCTGTGCCGTCACGGTGTAATACGGTGAGGGTTAAGTTAGCTCCAAACTACTGTGACGTTATCTGTGAAGGTTCTCAGTCATCCAGGTCATAATTATCCAATGAAGGTTGAGGTCAAGGGCAACTGGACTTGGTAGAAGAAACTAGAAGACGTTTCGTCCCTCATCCAAGGGACTTATTCAGTTCTGACTGAGAGGTAAGGAAACTCAGCTATTTAACCTCTTGGATCGTTAATTTTCGATGTAAATTGCGCAAAACTGATTAAAATGTTTAAAAATACCATTCACTTAAACATATTGAATAAGTAATTAATATTTTAGTCACAGGAATGCAATATTTTATTTTTAATTTAATACAGTAATTGTTATTATTGGTCGCACCACATGATGAGTGGAACAAAAACTTCTAAACCAAAAATATATTTAAACCAGATATCAGTAACATTTAAAGGAATTTTCATGAACAAACATTTCATAAACATTTTTTTGATGGAACTCTCATTACAAACATTTATGTTGTGCAGTACACATTTACATTTTTGTTTTGAACAAACATAGAACTTGACAATATGTCAGAGGTGTTACCCAATCAGCAGCCACATTTAAAAGACAGTGAAGTCCAGTGGCTGGCCGTACGCAACAGGATGTTCAAGGCTCCACCATTTCCATTGAAAAAAATGCTTTGCTACATTTTGTTAGGATTAAAGTTGGCTTCAAACTCAAAATAACTCTAAATTTACTTGATTTATGTTTACATGTTGTTTAATTTGACCTGACAGTCACGTGTCTGTGATCATCGATCAGGGAAATCGAACACGGTTGTCCTTTGTAAAAGTCCTGGGTTTGACACAGCCAATAGAGGTCGTTAAAATATAATAAATCAAGTGAAGATGGGCTGCTACGCCAACATGTTCACAAAAAAATGCATTTCCTCCTAAGAAATGGAAACACGCACAAGAGCAACATGTTGCTTCATATAGTTTTCATTTAAAATTTTCTTTAAGACGCAACAATTCTTGCTCCGCTCTTGCTGCGGGGTCAAAATTAACATGCTGTCCATGGCAAGCAGTTTTTCTTTACTTGCATAGTTTGTGAAATAGTTAAGTAAAATTACAAGTTCTAAATATTTTTGGCCATTTTTCTCATGATATTGTACAAAGACTAAAAATAATCCGTTGTTTCTAAAATGTAAGAAAAAGTGTGTCAAATTGCAGAAAAATCTATTCCATATCATACTACAATAAAAGCACTTTATATGTAAAAGTCAAATTGAATATAAAAGGACAAAAACTAAATTGCCCATCATGGAAACCACTTTTCAGCGGTCGCACCACGATATTTTCTAATTTAGTCAAAATTTGAAGGCAGAGAATGTAAACAAAACTTGATGTTTCAATGGGTCCTTATCAAATTGGTATATTATTCAACTTCCTGTCTTCTAATGGATTTCAACATAAAAGTCCCGAAGTGGTCGTTTGTTGATGGTTGCACCACATGATATTTCATAAAATGGACATCGGACATCGCCTGAAACGATACTTTAAAAAAAGAAAAAACACACACAAAAAAACTGGTGGGCATTAAAGTTTTTTTTTTTTTAATTTACTGTTGGTCTCTGTGTTCAATCCTGTTCAAGCCGTGTTTACTTGGAGGATGCTGAGTGCAGTTTTCTTTGACCACTCGCTCGACTCCGGTTCTGGGGCGCCGCTCTCTGACGTTATCCTGGCCCAAATTCCATCCCATCTCCCACAGAAAACACCGCTCAGAACTGTCTGAAAACAGCTCATTTGTAGTCCAGCCTTTTCTTCCGCTTTCTGGTGAGGTCACAAGAAAGTACGTGTCATAATGCTCACCTAGTACCTAGTCAGACCAGGGTTCGTGCACCATTTTTAAAGTTAAATTGAAACCTTTCTAAGACCTTTTAAGACATCAAATGTAAATTTAAGACCCCAAAATTTTGAAACAACGTATTTGATATAAAAGAGATTCGTGTTATCTCTTTTAATGAACGAGGCAATGCCATATTTGCCTGTTTTATTTTCACCACAGGTGAATATAAATTATATATATATATTTCTAATCGGGGAACATAAAGGTGGTTTACACCTGGCACTGAAAGGCATTTTGGGTGATCAGATTGTGATCGGGTAGCACTAGACCACATGAAAGTACAGGTGTAAATGCACCCGAGACGCATTGAGGACAGATTCTGATCCGATCAGCAAAACTACCTCTGTAGATGTTAAGGGACACCATGACCACATGGATGCAAATGCAATGTCTATCCATATGCAACAACTACTTTCCCGGAAATATGTACCAGTCGCAGTCTTCTGCAAATCAAATCCGAGTCTGACCGTGCAGACAAGCGCCTAGACAGTGTGAGCATTCAGTGTTGTGCATAAACCTGCTCAAACATATATCCAATGTTCAATATATATATTTGATATTAGATAGATATTTTGTCGAGGTAAAGGGACAAATTTTTTTTTACTTGATTTATCTCGTGAATATTTGCTGTTTTTAATTTTCTACCTCAGATTTGTGAAGTGATCCACTGTTTACCAAGCTGCTGTTTGGCATCAAGTGGCTGTCATGTTCTGACCATAAAAGCACAACTTTCACTGAAGAGTAAAACTTCTTCAGCCCTCGAATTGACATTGGCTATTCAGTAGAATAGGGTGGTATGGTGTGTTTTGGGGCTCAACGTCACAATGTCCCATCAGCAATCACCAATAGACAATGGCAATTCAATTAAATTTTATTTATATAGCACCAAATCACAACAACAGTTATCACACAGCACTTTTCATAAAAGAGCAGGTCTAGAGTATACTCTGTGATGTTATTTTCTTAAAAAGTATATAATATAAAATCAATAAATTTGTTGCCAGAAGGTGCAACTTTTTCAGCGAGAGAGAATAAGCATGTACATTTTACCTTACACATAATTTGCTATTATAACTACTTTTAATGTAGCATATTTACATCTAGTTTCTCTCTTTACCAGCACTCTTTAATTCTAACAAAAGCTACGAGAAACCATTTCTCAACCATCTGTCTCTAAAACATGCCGTCTATGATACAGTGAGCTACTGTCTATAACAGTGACCTTTAACTTTTAGGTTTTATTTAACTAATATATACCTACAATGAAGGTCTGGGGGACATGGCCAACAATGGTATACCAATAAAAAAGGTCAGGTAGCACCGTTATCAGGGCATTAAACAGAATTCTTGACTAAGAACGTGGTCGGAATGACTCATGACCTGTCCAGCCTTCTTTTCAAGTGGGAGCGCAGGTCTGTCAGCTGAACTCCAATGATCTTGGAGCAGATTTTAACAATGCTGCTGAGGCTATTCTTGTCCTTCAGACCATCCATAAAACCAGCAGATAAAAGAAAATTTTAAAAGACTTTCAATAAACGAATAATAAAAAATTACATTAGATACTCTGGGTAACATTAAATAAATTTAGCTTCCGCATCAAGTAGATTCTTTGTTGTCCCCGCTTGGCGACAGACTGTTTTTGTCAAACTTGAGGTTGGAGTCAAACATGGTTCTCTCGCTCTCCCGAAAACACAGCGGCCAAGTTTGTGTAGTGAATGGTTAGTATCACGAACACTGCTGCACAAATCCAACACGCTTGTCAATGTTGGAGACCCACCTTAAATAAATTATTACCACGCATGTAAGGAGCCTAGCTAATAAGGATGGCTATGTTAACCTTACAAAACAGCTGGGTTGCGAGGTTAGCACGCTGTACATAGCTCCGTTCTAGTCAATATCGCATACACCCAAACCTCGCCACAGTTCATTCTGTGGGAAACACTGTTACTGAACATATTATAAAGTAAAATTATTAGTGCTGGGCAACGATTAACATTTTTAATCACGATTAATCACATGATTTTCTTGCAATTAAGCGCATTGTGCGCAATAGTGAATGAATAATAAGTAGTGTATTGCACACTTAATTTAAATGTACTGCTATATACACAACATGCAACAACATGTGGTTTGCAAACAAATAAGGTGCTTTTTCCCCAGCAGTTCCTTTTACACAGTAGCAATAAAATACAGTCATACACAAAAGTTTAGACACCCCTGACAATTTCCATGATTTTCATTTAGAAATAAATCGGGTATCTGGATCAGGAGTTTCATTTTGAGCTATCAAATAACTGAAAGACACAGTAATATTTCAGTAGTGAAATGAGGTGTATTAGATGAACCAAAAATTTACAATATGCATCAAAAATGAAAGTAGACAGGTGCATAAATTTGGGCACCCCAATAGAAATATCAACTCAATATTTAGTTGAGCGTCCTTTAGCAGAAATAACAGCCACTAGACCCTTCCTCTAGCCCTTAATGAGTTTCTGGATTCTGGATGAAGGTATTTTGGACCATTCCTCCTTGCAAAACATCTCCAGTTCAGTTAGGTTTGATATTTGCCAAGCATGGACAGCCCACTTCAAATCACCCCACCGATTTTCATTGATATTCAGGTCTGGGGAACATTGTACTTGTTCCTCTGCATAAATGCCAGAGTAGATTTTGAGCAGTGTTTCGGGTTGTTGTCTTGTTGAAATATCAACCCCCGGCGTAATTTCAACTTTGTGACTAATTCCTCTAAATTATTCTCAAGTATCTGCCAATATTGAGTGGAATCCATGTAACCCACAACGTTAACAAGACTCCCAGTACCGGCACTGGCCACACAGCCCCAAAGCATGATGGAACCTCCACCAAATTATACTGTGGGTAGCAAGTGTTTGTCTTGGAACGCGGTGTTCTTTTGCCGTCATGCATAACGCCCCTTATTGTGAACGAATAACTCCATCTTTGTTTCATCGGTTCACAGCACCTTCTTCCAAAATGATGAGCTGGCATGTCCAAATGTGTGTTTGCAGACCTCAAGCGAGCCCGTTTGTGGCGTGTGCAGAAAAGGCTTCTTCCGCATCACCCTCCCGTACAGCTTATCCATGGTGCGCTGAATTGTTGAACGATGCACAGTGACACCATCTACAGCAAGATGATGTTGTAGGCCTTGGGCTGTTTTTGACCGTTCACCATCCTTCGCCTCTCTGATATTTTACTTGGCCTGCCACTTCTGGCCTTAACTAGAACTGTGCCTGTGGTCTTCTATTTCCTCACTACGTTCCTCACAGTGGACGCTGACAGCTTAAATCTCTGCCATAGCTTTTTGTAGCGTTCCCCTAAACCAAAATGTCATTTGAGAGGTGTTTTGAGGCTCCCATGTTGCCACTCTTCAGAGGAGAGTCAAAGAGAACAACAACTTGCAAATGGCCATCGTAAAAACCTTTACTCATGATTGGATGTAAGTGTCTACAAATTTAAGGGCTTAATTAGCTCACTAAACCAATTATGTGTTCCAATTAATCAGTGCTAGGTAGTTACAGGTGTTGAAATCAACAAAATGACATGGGTGCCCAAATTTATGCACCTGTCTAATTTCTTTTTGATGCATATTGCACATTTTCTGTTCATCCAATAAACCTAAATTCACTACTGACATATTACTGTATTTTTCAGTTATTTGAAAGCTCCATATGAAATTGCTGATCCCAAAACCCGATTATTTATAATTGAAAATCATGGAAATTATCTGGGATGCCTAAACTTTCGCATACGACTGTATTTTATATATTTCTTCAATCTCAAAACATTAATGTAATCAAACCAAAGCTGCTTGCCACCGCCAGGGCATTACCTTTCTTATAGCTTAAAACAAGTGACCATCAGAGAACATTGTTCTTGTGTTCACTCGCACAGACTTCAAAACTTGAAATGACGTTAGAAATCACAGTGGATATTTTACAAGCTCGGACCAGGTAACGTTAAAGCTGCTGATGCGTCATGCGCCTCCTGCTATGGTGCCAGTCACCAAGCAAAGGGGCACCACGTTTTACAGCAACACACAACACTGGCGGAAAACGTGGGTAAAGGCGTCAACTCACACTGAAGTGTTTCCTATGTTGTTGACGTGCTGTTAAATACAGATTATTTATCGGTGCGTCTCAAAGAAGTAACGTTACGCTACTTCTGCGCAAGTGGACGGAGTCAGTCTGCTATGCTAGTTCCCGCTTTAGCTGCCGCAGAGCTCGGGAAAAACACCGGGTCCGATCCGGTACAGAAGTCCGTGTACTCACCCGGGTGCTGACTTCCCGGCTGTCCGGGTCCGGGTCCGGGTCCGGCTCGCAGTTAGCAGAAACTTTCTGTCCGGAGCTCGTCGACGTTACTGCCGCCATCTTGTCTCTCCGTGCGCTGAGCTGACAGTGCGCATGCGCTGCTCGTTGTTTTCTTTTCAAACGGCATCACCGTGGAAACGAGTTTAAAAACAGAAAAAAACAAAATTAAAATGAAAGAAGCGACTACTTCATGTTCACTATTTAAACCTTTCCATCGACCGTTTTAATGAATTAAAAGTGTTGTTAATGGGTCAATATCACTATAAAGTGCCTTTGGTGTCCTCAGAATGAATGAACTTATTGTAAAATAATTTAAGGTTTTATTATAAATGACCAAACATTTACACACATCAGAATGTGTTTCCTTCATTTTATACCATTTTCTTTGGTTTTTGCATGGCCCACATGCTGCTCTGCTAACTTCAATGAGTGTAATAAGTAGTTTAATTACACAAAATTAAAATAGTTTTTATTTGTAATAATGGTCCTTAGCAGGTTTGTTCATACAAGCCATTTGAATAATTTGTTTAATTTACATGATAATATTAAACATTTTGTAAGTGTCCCTGAAATTGCTGTCATTGTGGGGTAACTGCCTCTTTAAGAAACAGGCCGGTGTATTGAGTGACATCATCGCCAGTAGTCTTTGTTCAATGGAGGTTTAAACAACTGCTGGAAGTACATAACATTTCTACACTTCTATTCCTTAATTTTCATCATATTGTGTTTGTTAGATCCCGAGTCACCCCTGTTCAGGAGGTACTGGACCAGCTCTCCGTCGTAAAGGGTCCGATCCTCTGGGTATTACCCTAGTAGGTATAACTGAGGACTGTTTAAGCTGGTGTCGAAGAGATTCGCCTGGCTTCTCACTGTCTTCTTCCGAACGCCTACCCTGCTTACTCTCATTGATCAGTGCACTTGGTATAGTTGCTAGGATTGTGTTTAGTGGCCAGGAAAATAGGCCCCAAGGATAAGTTAATTTTGTTGGCTAGAGCAACCTATACACACTTTACCTAATGAATTACTACCTTAGTGAAGAAATAAGTTCAGTGTCTACTACTTGTACTTTAAATGCAGTATAAAAGGGGCAAATGGAACAAGGATTTAAATGGGGCTGTTCTCAAAATATCGATACAGAAATATATATATACATATATTGTTAGGTAATCCTTGATTATATGTGTATACAGATGCTTTTGTATCGATACATCAACAAATGACTGACATAACTTACAGGGAACAGTTGCTGTTGAGGGGTTGCTGGGGATGTTGCTGCTGCTGCTCTGGTTGCTGCTGATACTACTGGAGGTGATCTGTGACTAGAGATATTATAACAAACATAGGAGATATATTAGCTGATGTGACCATGACAAGATGTAAAGATTGCTGACAGTATTTGGGACCGGCTCACTATGACTGACCTGCTGTAGCTGCAGCCGCTGCCAAGGCTGACTGCTATGAGAAAATAAGAGGGAGACGCTCTCAGAGACGGCTGCACACCGAGAGCTGCAGGGAGAGGAAACAAGATTCCAGGTTCAAAAAAGTGTGGGAAATAATCTGGGAAGGAAACAGTACTGGGAGAAAGGACTAAGTTAGCCGAGGCAGGTGTAAGAGTGAGACAGATCTATAGACAGGTGTGTGTGTGTGTGTGCAATATTGTGATAATGATTTTATATATTTCATTGTTAATCGGAGATATATGGATTGTATTTTGATTGACTATATGTCTAATCATAAATCTAAAAATATGTGTGTGTGTTCTTTCTGTTGGCCCATAATAACCATGACAGAGCAGCATTTTATAACATTTCATACCTTTTTCTGAAATCTAATAGGGCCATTTCTTCTTTGATGTCAGGAATATTATTTATTTTATATTGACACTGACATTATTACATGTATTTCCAGTTATTTAGTTCATATAATAGGTTTGCTATCTATTCAAATACTGTTCTGATTTAAGTGATCGTTTGAAAACGGGCTGATAAGTAGGCTATAATTCAGAGGAATAAGTAATAAACCTGTTTTACCAAAGTTGTTATAATTATTTTAAGGCACACTACGTTTTTTATTAAGTTACTGTAATAATCCTAGTTGAAGTGAAAGGTTTTTAGTCAAATTATATAAAAAATACCAGACCTCACGACGCCCGTGAAACTTTTCTCCCTCAAACAGCAAGAATGAAGTGAACAGAGCAACTTTTGTTTATCTGTGTGTAGAAGCAACGTTATTTTGGGCGCAGTGTTAGTCGGCAGCTAAAGTTACTTCTACTGGCGACACGCAGCAATATGCAACTACTGTGCTGCTCTCTTTGCGTCTTTCTTGTAAAATACATCCAACAACCCACAACATGCACGTTGAGGTGAACCCGTCTGACCGGCGGGATCGCAGGAGTCCTGCAGGCAGAGCTGCTGAATCACTAACGGTGTGTGAACGGGAGGGCTCGTCACGGATGAGGTCATCAGGTGAAAGGTCATAATGTGGGTCATTTTATTTACTATGAAATTATTTTTACTAATAAAAAAATCACAAAAGGACCTTTACAAATTTAAAAATTAATTAATTAATTAATTAAATTTGTCATTGACAAAAGGGCACTTTGGGCATCAAAGGGCAAAAGGGCAGGTGCTCAAGCCCCCGTAGCACCCCCCTCTGCACGTGCATGGAGTCCAATGATTCTTCAGTTGGTTTGGATGTTGTGGTTACCGTCTGTGGCTCGATCTCTTGAAGTCCCCTGAAGAAATCTCTGAAGTGTTCTCTAGTTTGCTGTTCAAATCCCCGTCTCTTCTCTTGGGCTCTTGGTCCGGTGCGGTGATGGTCTTGCTCCGAGTCCGATGCCTCAGAGGTCTGCCGAGGAATAACCCCGATCTCTCTCTGACTCCTCTTTATATATCCTACTCTGTAGCTGAGTTTCTTTGTGAAATCAGCCACCACCCTTTTCTTGTCTACGTGACTACTGTCACACAGCTTGTTCATCTGTAAATTCAGTTGGGCCAGAGATGTCCTTGTTTGGCCATTTCATTTTCCCTTGCTGACCCTTTTGCAGTTATCTAACCTTTACCCTAATTCTCCTTACTTTAACCATATTATGTATTTTACAATCGAAATATCAATTCTGTTTATTAATCTTCAATATCAATGAGATATCCTGATTTTCAATCATCATATCATGTTTAATACCAAATATCTTTCTTTTATCATTATTCAATATATTGCTTATAGCATTGTGAAGCTCTGTGTTTTGCAGATGGAAGGATGTTGCACTTGTAAACATATTTAATTACCTATTTAAAAACATACAGTTGTGAAAATGTAAAAGAACAATAACTAGGTTATTTGGAAGAGCAAAGACGGCGACAAAGAGAACTGATTGCATCCCCAAAATGAAATGAAAACAATAACTTTTTAAAAAACAAATCATTCAGTAGTCACTAGTTTCCTCCCCAAGTCAAAAACCATTATTAATTAATAATAATAAAAAGGTTAGTGGCATGTCCACCTTTTATGAAAATAAACAAATTATTTTCAAATTGTATAAAATCTTGGATTATTTCTTTATGAACAAATGAAGACCAAATATTACTGTTTGATGGTTTGACCACATACGTTTGTTGTTTAGAGTTTATTTAGGAAAGAAAGTGCAAATATGACAGATGACAGGGTGGACATATTTTATGCTTTGTTCATACTTTGTAAGCTTGCAATTAATTTATAAAAAGTGCTGGAGCTTGACCAACATGCATTTCTAACAAACTAAGATCTACTTCATAAAATGTATGTAGAGTCAAATGGAAAATCTCAGCTTTGTCTTTTGGGAATTATGAAGTCTCAAAGGCACTTTATAGTGATAATGACCCTAATACAACATGTGTCTGATTTTCTCCAGAGCTGTTTCGTCTTCAGGTCAACATAAAAACCAGAGCAGAACATCTGCGTGGATGAAATGATCCAGTTCAGTTCCTAACAGAAGTCTTTCTTCCTACATATGGAAACTTGCCTTTGTGGGAGCTGGATAACGTATAGAGCATAAAGTATGAGGACCAGAGATGAGAGCCGTTAAACAGTTAAAGTTTATCACTTCAATAGATTCAGTAGACAGAAGGTACTCTAACAGGTCATAATAAAATTAAATCACTCATTCACTATTGAACAAGGAAACGATGTAGCATGTCGGCTAAATGCAGTAAATGTACCGTGATCATGTAACGAGCATTGATTAGTTCAACCTGATAAAACTATTAATATAACGTTGCAGTGGGGGTTTACCTGAGTTCCCAGTATATTATGTGAAGCTGTCTCCCTGCCTTTTTTCCGGGAGGATTGTGCCGATATGCCGGTGTCTCGCGTCGCTGAATGAAGTGACGTACGGCGCAGGTGTTAATCTGCCTCTCAGCCGGGAGCAGAGCCTGAACATGTCTGAATAAAAAAGCCACAGCCTGCATGCTGGTGTTCCTGCGTTTATTGCCAGATTTCTGTATGAAAGTGGTTGCGTTTCGGATTATGCTCAATCATGAGTTCAAGCAAGCACGTGTACGAGCACACGCCTGGTTGCAGTCTTAAAACCGCACCGCTAGTGGCCGCTGGAAACTACATAATGCCCCTTTAACAAAGAAACAAACCAGTTAAATACACTCATACTGCCACCTGCTGGTACAAAAGGGGTACATCAGCTCCATCTACTTTCACTCAAAAAACTGCAAAGCAAGTTCAACCATATAATACCTGTACTGCACCAAACAATGCGCTCATTAAATCACAGAGAGAGAAGTGACGTGTTCCCTGGTCAGTTCTAAAATATGTAATTGGATTGTACTTGCTACATGGACAGAATGTGTTGTTTATATCTGCGAGACAAACAGCTAATGAATATTATTGGCAATAAAACTGTACAGCATTGAAGCTGCACCACCGCGCCGACAAAAATCAATGTGTAAAAACTAAAAAAGTCAATATGCAAATAAAGAAAACCTCTCAGTGAAATCTTTTTGTAGAAATGTGTCTTAAGGAAAAGACTCTGACCCTGATCTTGCCCATTGAATAGTTTGCAACACCCTACTAGAGGACCTCAGTCTGCATCCTGGATCAGCATCCCATGTCTAAACATAACAAAGAAGCAGCAGGCACTTACTTTCCATCATTTACCCAATACTCAGAATATCACACAGGAAGCCTTAAGGATGGTATAAACTATAATGTGGTGCACTCCCTCTTTCTACACACACTGGCTAAAAACTAAATGAGTCATCTCCTATACCTACAGACTGTGAGTATTAAAGTGATGAAATGTCCCAGGCCTTTACACAGTGACTAGATTTGGCTTTATTTTCAGTCTGAACAGAGAAGACAGATTCCAAACCACATTCAGAAACAGAAAATAAAAACAGAGAGAATGAATGAATATAGATGTATGTAGCAGGATCCCTACTTTAAATTCAATATCTGCACTTGTAACATCTTCTGGGGCACCACCTTCAATCAAAGGAGAAATTAAAGAAATCAGTCTTATTAACTGATCTGTGAATTCCCAATACTTTGATCCTTAGTTTCTGCTTTGAAGAAATATTCACAGACAAAAGGAAACATTTATCTACAGCTAAATGTGATTAACAAGGGAATAAAGCCAATAAATTAGGTTTTAATGAGCTAATGAGTTACATGACATGAAACCAGATTCAAATAAATGCATTTAAAGTGTTTGAGGAATGATTATTCAGTTTGGCTGTATTAAAAAAGTGGAATGAACGCTAGTTCACTAATTCAGCTTTCCTCAGACCTACGTTCACGGCCTCCCAGCGAGGTGAGCGCTCACTGGAACGTGGTGGTGGCCGATGTGTTGAGTCAGACAAAGCCATGTTTCTCGTGGGAAGACAATGAAATAATAATGCAGACAAACAGAAGAGGTGAAGAAACAAAGGAGAAAGAGGCCGGACCCCCGTCAGAAAGGGCTCTTACTGGAGGAGGAGGAAAGGTTTTCATGTTCAAACTGTTGTACGCCTCATAACTAATAATCTGTCTTTGTGGTTTCTTCTACATTTATGGAACTATATAATGTGATATGTCACCACAGTCACACACTTCGCTTCACTATGGGCAAATTAATAGTGATTACAACAAAATAACAGGGTTTACATCAAGCATCCATCTCAGACATGTTATTTAAAGCTAACTCAGATTTAAAACAACGTGAACCATCACTACTTAACTATCAGAAGCATAAATGTTCAGCTTCTCCTTTTTTTTTTGGAACCAGCTGAATCCAAAGACACAAAGGAGTCTTTAACTGCTGTCAGTCCTGTTCTTCATCTTGTTATCAGGACAGAACACAGACCTCTGGGGAGTCAGAGAGTACCAGGTGTGGAAAGAGGCAACGTGGCACTTTGACTAGTGAGGACATAAATGTGGCCTCTGGGACTCTCTTGGTCATGCTAACTTGTTGTCTCTGAGTCTGAATCTGTTCATCTAGAAAGTTGTAGGAGGCTCATGTTCTCATCAATGTTTTAATGAGTCCTCGTTTTTCAAAATGTGTATAGTGGAGGTGGAGCAAAGTTAGCATGATGAACAGAGTCACAACAATTATGAGAAATCTTAACCCTTCGGGCCGACAGGTACAAGGTGTGGATGATGACCTCATGATCCTCTGACTTCAGACCAGGACAGACTCTGCTAAATCAACAGGACCAGAAATATCCCTGCGTCCCTCACATGGCTGGACAGTCAGATCCTCCAGCCAGAGTCACTACATTTTCTTTACCAAGCAATTCATAGAGAAAACTCTTGGCAAGTAGTTCTAGAAAAATATTAATATTCAAATAGTTTATGAAATCATAGTAAAATTGTAGTGAGAATCATGGAAACAGACTGAATCAGTAGAAACAGGTAGCCTGACTCTGAACCACTTTTAAGCTAACTCAGATTTAAAACAACATTAACCATAAACTTCCTAACTACTGAACTATCAGAAGCATAAACTCAACACTATTAATAAAACGGTAGCAGATTCAACGGTTAGTTTGATCCTACATATACTAACTCAAACTAATCTCACCTAAATAACAGAAATGCAGTGATGACAAGAATCCCATTAACTGTAGCCACTAGGTTGCAGTGTGGTTACATGGAGAAACAACTTATCAGACACAAGTTTCTTGCTACAATCCCATTACTGAGTCTGACCTACTTCTTCCAGGACCCTCCCTCCAGCAGAGGGGTGAGGGAGGGTGGCGTGATCTCGTGGCTACATAGTGTTAGATTACAGAAGGCCAGTATGTAATAACATACAACACAGAATATAAAGTTACTGGTGTCTGTCCCTCAGATCGTAGAGAAGCTATCGACACAGCTATCAGGGCATGAGGAGGAGGCAGGAGTGGAGGTGGAGGTTCATTCTGTCCAACAAAATGGATCAACTGCTTCTCCTCAACAGAACTAACTCGGACTTCTGCAGATCTGCCGCCTTCTGTTTTACAGAGTCCTGGTTCACCGAGCACATCGCGGATAGTGCACTTCACCTACTGGGATTTACACTTTTCCGGGCGGACCGTAAAGATGATTCTGAAATGCAGTGACTGCCCTCTACTGGGTACTGCAGTTTCATTTTGCTATTGGCTGATAAAACCTCTGGACTGACGCTTTCCAGCTCTTTCCAAATCAAACTTCCTCAGCTGTCATCACATGACGTTAGTCTAGCACAATCACATGATAACAGGTGGTGGTATTCAGGGCAGGAGGAAACAGCTAGCTCGGCTCTGGGAAAAATGTCACAATGATGCTTTGTCAATGCATTTGTGTCTTTTAAGGATTTTACTGTGTGTGTAAAATTTGCCACACATGCCACAACCGTACGGTTTTTCTCCAATGTGAAGACGTTGGTGGGTTTTTAGGTTACCTGATGTCCTGAAAGTTTTCCCACACTGTTCACAGCTGTGCAGTTTCTCTCCAGTGTGAACACGTTGGTGGAGTTTTAGGTTATTTGATTGAGTGAAAGCTTTTCCACACTGGTCACACCAGTACGGTTTCTCTCCCGTGTGAACACGGTGGTGGATTTTTAGGTAACTTGGTGTAGTGAAAGTTTTCCCACACTGTTCACAGCAGTACGGTTTCTCTCCAGTGTGAACACGTTGGTGCTTTTTTAGGTTACCTGACATAGTGAAAGTTTTCCCACACTGTTCACACCTGTACGGTTTCTCTCCAGTGTGAACACGTTGGTGCTTTTTTAGGGCACCTGATTGAGCAAAAGTTTTCCCACACTGTTCACACCAATACGGTTTTTCTCCAGTGTGAACACGTTGGTGGGTTTTTAGGGCACCTGATGTCTTGAAAGTTTTCCCACACTGTTCACACCAGTACGGCGTCTCTCCAGTGTGAACACGTTGGTGGATTAGTACTTCCCATGATGTCCTGAAAGTTTTCCCACACTGTTCACAGCTGTGCAGTTTCTCTCCAGTGTGAACACGTTGGTGGAGTTTTAGGTTATTTGACTGAGTGAAAGTTTTTCCACACTGGTCACACCAGTACGGTTTCTCTCCCGTGTGAACACGTTGGTGGATTTTTAGGTAACCTGGTGTAGTGAAAGCTTTCCCACACTGTTCACAGCAGTACGGTTTCTCTCCAGTGTGAACACGTTGGTGCTTTTCTAGGGTACCTGATCGAGTGAAGGTTTTCCCACACTGTTCACACCAGTGCGGTTTCTCTCCAGTGTGAACACGTTGGTGGATTTTTAGGGTACCTGATCGAGCAAAGGTTTTTCCACACTGTTCACACCGGTATGGTTTTTCTCCAGTGTGAACACGTTGGTGAATTTTTAGTTGACCTGCAGTAATGAACGTTTTCCCACACTGGTCACAGCTGTACAGTTTCTCGCCGGTGTGAACTCGTTGGTGGATTTTTAGGGTACCTGACCGAGCAAAGGTTTTTCCACACTGTTCACAGCAGTATGGTTTCTCTCCAGTGTGAACACGTTGGTGCTTTTTTAGGTCACCTGATTGAGTGAACGTTTTCCCACACTGGTTACAGCTGTACGGTTTCTCTCCAGTGTGAACACGTTGGTGGATTTTTAGGTCACCTGATGTAGTGAAAGCTTTTCCACACTGGTCACAGCTGTACGGTTTCTCTCCAGTGTGAACTCTCTGATGAATCTTCAAATTTCCAGATTTTGTGAAGGATTTGTCACAGTGCTGACAGTGATGACATTTGAGTCCCTCTCTTCCTCTCCTTCTCTATATCAACAGAGAGAAACAGTAAGTGAGATGTCATGGTGCAGCGAGCTATCTAAAACCATAAATGACATTAGAGCACATCTTTGAAATTACATACTAACCTACTGTACCACATAGCACGTATGTGCTGTCTATGAAATACTCAGTCATACACACTCACTATGTACTGCATACTAAATAAATGATCAGTGTGTTATTACCATGTAAGCCTGACTGTTCACACTTGAGTACTCAAGCAAATTTTGTAAAGGCTACAGTTCGTTTTTCACATTTGATGTAAAGAATTCCTGTAGAAAGTGTGAAAAGACAGCTGGAATTATTTTAAAAGCATTGCAGGAAATGCACAAGAGTAGGCATAGGGATCGTTAATTACGGGTCCAAGTCCAAGTGGGCTGGAAACCCTATTGTTTTAGCTCGGATTTTTATTATTCTTCCGCGGCCTAGACGGTAAGAGCTATAGACGCAAAACTCATAGGATAAGTCCAGGTCACTGCAGCGACCGCAGGCGCAAAAATTTGCACACTTCCTAAGGGGTGCTATAACCAGTTTTTTCACATTTGGGTTTGAAACTCCCGCTCACGAAAGCTTATATCAAAAACTTTATATCCACGCGTTCAGGGGATCTGGTTGAATCTCCTGGTATAGGCCACGCCCATTTCCTGCACTTCCCCCCACTCCATCGCAATAACTGAAAAATTTTTTGATTTACTCCTCCGAAAGTGAAATTCCGATCGGCATCTACCAAATGTTTGCAAAAAAAAGTGATGCAATATCTTAGGTGGCCGATCAACACCAAACTTGAAGCACTCATGTGACATCCCCCCCCTGAGGGGCTTTGCAAAATTTGGTTTAACTAGCCCCTAGGTGGCGTATTTAACCCGAAAAATTATAAACACTATTCACATTGACATGAAAGTTGTTGCCGAATTGTTCAGCATGGTCTCCTTACTCCAGGCACCAAAGTTGACCCAAATATGTTCATATTCATCCAGCTGTTATTGCATATTAAAAGTTTAAAAAAAATTCATTTACATGCATTTTGTATCTCCATAACTACATGTCCGATGGATACCAAATTTTGGTCAATTGTTCTCCATGGGCCTTGATGACACCCGAAAACTTTGGTGCAATTCAGCTTATAGGTGGCGCTATAATCAAAGCTCAAATACCCTGGGGAAATCCCATTCATTTCAGTGGGATTTGGACCCAAGGCATATTTTGCCTCATAACTACGCACCACTGCATCGCACAGTCATAAACCTTATTTCTGCATGTTTGGGGGATAATGCCGAATCGTATGGTATAAGACACTTCTGCAATGACATTTTCATTTTACTAAATCTCGAAAACTTAAAAACCCATTTTAATTCATTCCTCCGAAGTGGCAACTCCGATTGGCACCAAACTAGGCACAGACCATCTCTGGTTCAAGCCGATAAGTTTGTAGAGGGTATTTTGATCCCACAAAAAATGTACCAATTAGAAGCTAACAAATATTTGCGAAAATGCTAAAAACAGTAAGTGATGTCATATGTTAGGCTTGCAATGACAGAGTTCTGAACAGCCTACAGACAGTAAAGCACCTCGCAGTAATCTAAACGAGAGGAAATAAAAGCATGGATGATCATCTCCAACTCGCCCTTTGACAGCAGTGTTCTTAATTTGGATATATCCTTAGCTGGAAGAAACAGTTTCTGACCAATTGTTTAGAGTGGTACTCTAAGGACATCGCAGAATCAAAACACCTACGCTCCTGAGGCTCAGCTGGACAGACTAGCCTAAATCAACAATATGCTGTTTAATCTGAGGGATTCTACTTACAGGGGCGATAATCAGTGTTTGGATCTCTGTTTCCTTAAATGAGCAGTACAGTTGAATATCATCTGCATACAGATGGTAAGATATGTCACTGTATTGAATAATTACCTGTGCTGGAAATATATACAAAAAGGAACAGGATAGGTCCCAAGACAGAACCCTGAGGTACCCACCACGACAACCCTGCAGTTTCAGACATGATCTAATTTACATAAACACTAAAATTTCTACCAGAAAGGTAGGATGAAAACCATTTTAAAACTGTTCCAGACATCCCAACCAGATCAACCCAACCAGAGTCTATTTATCATAATATTTTGATCAACAGTATCCAAAGCAGATCAAAGGCCCAAGAGAACCACAACGGTGTATTCCTTAGAGTCAGCTGACATCAGAATGTCACCAGAAACTTTAAGTAATGCAGTTTCTGTGGAATGCTTTTTACGGAAACTAGACTGGAATTTGTCAAACAGCTTGTGATTCTCTAAGAAAAAGAGTTCTCTGCTACAACTTCTTGTAGAATTTTGACATGAATGGAAGTTTGGACATTGGCCTGTAGGTCTTAGGTTGTAATGGATCCAAGCTGGGCTTTTTAAGTACAGGCTTAACAACAGCATGTTTTAAAAACAAAACAAGGAACGACACCAGTTAAAAGTGAAGTATTTTGCAAGAGCTAATAAATGTAGACAAGCCCATGGACATCTGTCAGCAACAAGTTTACTCCCTGACCCCACCACAATCTCTCGAAGGCAAAGAACTGAATGCTAAGAGAGGTGACGGGTTGAAGAAATCAAGGGGGTCATGGCGTTGATAAATGTGGGAATGACAATGATGATCACCGTAAGAGTAATACATGTCACATCACCTGTCACTATGTCACAACCACAATATGACAATGAAGAGCAGGGTACTCACACAACAAGCGTACCAAGCGACGCCAACAACAGCAAACAATATTCGAAAAACAGTTGCAGCAGCAATTACTCAGTCCTTGGATTTGATGCGTCAGTGATGAATTTTGTTGTGGGTAACGATCAGGGCGCTAATTATGTTGCCGCTCTTCGCCCATACCAGCGCCTGGGCTGTCAAGACCACCTGTACAACACGGTCCTCCGGCATGCCTTGAACCCAGATGAGCTTTCAGAAACAGTCCCAGAGAAGTAGCAGAGGACCCTGCAGGCCACCGAGGCTTTAGTCTGATATTTAAAGCAGTCAGGTCTGGCAAGCCAGTTGTCAAAAACTGTCGAACAGATTGCAGATTGCCTCTAAATTAATGTAT